GACTAGATGCTCTGCTGGGAGTTGCACGGACTCAAAACAGAAATCTTCAGTGAGGCACATTATTTCAGGCCCCCTATTAAGTACTATTTACTTTGACATATGCCCTCTTCCTGCCTTTCCAAGGCTCAATCTTGAGTGAATACCTGCTTTCCATTTTCTGACAAATCAGATCACAGGAGAAAGAAATGTCTTTTTTTGTTTGTTTTTAAATGAGGACTGATGGATGGTGGTAGTATGGACTGCAGCTATAAACATACACACACTCATTCATGTTACTGTTGTATTACCCAGAACAAGTTTTTCCAATAATTGTAAATTAAATCAAGACACCAAATAAGAGTCCCTACTGCTTTCCAGCAGTATGATACTGCATCATCCCCTGGCACAATGCAGTTGACAGCTAAAACCCAAAAAGCTAGCAGCTTGCACAAGTCATGCCACCCATTCAACAGCCCAAAGCCAAAAGAGTTACTCCTTGCGGGGTTCAGTTTCTTTAAGAAATACATTGTCAGGTAGCTCCAATATGCACATTTACTGCTTTATTTTCCCTCATTACCATGTTTACCCAAGTTGTTGTGACAAACATTAAACAAAAAAAAGTAGATCCCTGTTGAGATTTTTTCCTGAGGTCCTGCAACACGGAACCTAGCAGGACAAGTCGGGGGCAGGCTAGAAGGGCTCAGCATCAATGAAAAGATGCTGATGACTGCATGCCATGCTGTGACTGATCTGAGGCTTTAATATTTTTAAAAACTTCATATATGAAAAGTGAGGCATTTGGACTAACATGGAAATATTTTGCCATTCCAATAAGTTATAACCTGTAAAATTGCGTGCCACTTATGTTTGCTTTATACCGAAGCTTTATTCATCATTTTATTTGCATAAGTAGAATAAATGAATAGACATGCCCAATCTCTTGGTCAATTTCAACATTAGATCATAGTTTAAACATTCTTCTCTACAGAAGGATGGCAGAAATGTGCCCTGCCTAGCCCTTATTTTTTAATAAACATTTTACATTTATATGGAGAATACGGTCCCATCTGAGTCCAGACTCTGGATACTGGGGGTCCACATAACAGCTTAAGATGACACCAAGTCAGGGTCTGGCTCAGCAGGCCAGACTGGCAGAAGTGATTCATATTTAGTGTTTCATTTTTTTCTGATCTTGGTAACTTATCCCATTGAGGACATATTCAATTACAGGGAAAACGACATCATCCCTGAACTTATGGGAGGACATTTTCCTCTGGCTTGGCCTCCAATTGTTTGAACATACAATTTTTTTGCAAGACAACTAGAGAAACCAAAATGAGTCCTGAACTTAGAGCAAGAGTCCGGTTTTAAGGTCATAGCAGAAAGCGAGATGAAACAAATCCAATTGCACCTTGGCAGCAGCTGGAGACTCAGTCTACCATACCAGAGGACAGGCATCTTCTGATCTGTGTGGTGCTGCTGAGGTCACTGAGGATCTAATTCTAAATCTAATTTCTTTTGTGAGGAGGAGAAAAGTGTTCATATGTGGTGAGCCCAAGGCAGAACAGGGCTGTGTCGGGCAGGAGGGGAGAAGCCACATGCATTGAGCGGCAACCTAAGAAAGCACTGGAGTAGAGACAGAGCTTGTATCACAGGCATGGTCTTACCAGTTTTAAAAAGCAGCAGCAAAACACACTAAGGTATTTCCCCCTCCCCCCTTGCACACACCTGAGGAAGGTGTTTAGTTGTTCCTGTATTTTGTTTTACATACACCAAACCTAGATATATTAGAGCCATCTCTCACACGACTACGTGAAAATAAATCGCTCTTCCATTCTCCACATACACTTGTAAATAATTGGAGTGGTTGTGTGCATACAAGTGACAGCAGAGCTTATTTTCTGCTTCCATCAGTCTACATTAATGTTGTGCTGTATAAGCAGAAGTGAATAATGTCTGGTAAAACAGGTGTGGGATAGTGTCACACAGATCATGCTTTATGCACTCTTACCTCCTGCTTTTCTTCCCTAAGTCAGTATAATAGTGCTAGAGATCTGAATTTACAACATAAACATAGTTCAACATATGTGAAAAACATTTGCTTTAAAAGACAAAATTGCTGGAGCAATTTTAAATATTTTTCAAAAGCTAAAGCTGCTCAGACAGACAAATCTTGTTTTGACATGCGCCCCAAAAATAACCATGGCAGACTCAGAATTTACATCTACATAAAGAAGGTTAATGAACCAGGCAAATTGTGCTGCACAGGAAGCAAATGCCAAATATTGCTCTTAGCTCTTTCTTGTGAGTCAGTGGCTGCTGCAGGAGCAGGGGTACTAAAATAAATAGGGCCGCATACTCAGTGCAGTTGGAACACTCCAAAATGCCATGAAGCTGTCAGTCTGCATGTCAGAATCAATGTGCAAGACTGTCAGTAGAAAGGCAGGATGAATTTGGAGCTTTAAATAGTCACCATCTTTTACAGTTATTTATTAGCAGTAAAGGAGGCCTGCCTTCCCTCCATATCACTGCAAATGATGCTCTTTATTCATAACTACATTGTAATTGCCTTTTCATGTGAAAGTTGTAAGTAATACATAGATATTTGTCGGAAAAAAAATCTTAGAGGTGACAAAAGAGTACAGGTTATTTGAATATGCTCAGGCCTCCCACCAAGATTAAATTTAGAAGCAGTAACTTTTTTAGGGGAGGAGTAGGGACACAATGATTAAGGAATAGTTTTAACTGATACTGGATATTGACAGAAATTGAAGATATGCAATACAGCTACCTCCACCAATCCATGTTTTCTACAAGTCTTCCTATGGATCTTCTATAGCTCCAACTTAAATTACTTAATTTAAGAATAAAACAAATTTAAGCTGACAGAGGGTAGGTTTAGGTTAGATATAAGGAAAATTCTATACTCAGGAAATGGTGAGCCCAGGCTGCCCAGAGGAGCTGTGGGTGCCCTATCTCTGGCAGTGCCCAAGGCCATGTTGGATGGGGCTGGGGGCAGCCTGGGCTGTTGGGAGGGGGTCGAGGCTGAGTGTGCTTTAGGTCCCTTCCAACCCAAGGCATTCTACGATTTCGTGATCCTAACTTGAAGAAAATTCAAGTTAAATGAGTGGCCACATCAAAAAAAAATATTTCTAGCTGACTTTGAACAGTGCTGGATGCAGGACAAAATTCCCTTCTACCTCAGTTGATACAGTCTAAAAACTCTTTTCATCTACTAAGCAGAAAGTTATGGTGCTGCATCTGAACTTTTCTGTAGGTACCAACATCCATGAACATCTACATAAATACAAGCAATCCTGTTCCCAGAAATTGCTTTGGGGTAAAATTACATACAAAGAGTAAATTCCCATACATGCAGGAGACAATATATTGAATGCAAAGTAGATGGAATTCAAAGATGAGAATTTTAGGACTAAAAATGTCTATGATAACTCTACACATACTGATTTTGACTATTCAAAGGTTTGGGGAATGCGGGGAAAGAAAACTTATTTAAAGTAGCAAACAGCTCATCACTTTCACAGCATAACTGCAATCTTCTTCCACAGACTACCGCGAAGTGTGCATTACCACAAATATTTACAAACACCTTCTTACTGGGGTTTCAGAAGATAAATTTATTCTGAGAATGACTCAAAAACTCAAATGCAAGTTGGCTGCATTGTGAGCTCGACCATCTCAGACAGACAGGGCAGAATCTCTGCAAGAGTGATCATGCTGGCAATGTTTCCTCATTGCTGCCTTTCCCTGCCTATTTTCTGGTAAATTAATCCCTTGTTTAAAATGTGTCTGTTCAATGGAGAGTATGACACACCTTTGTTTTCCTTGCCTCCTCTATTTGGTCTTGAGATTACAATTTAATTATGCTCCAGAGAAAATGGCATGAAATAATTTTCTGGAGAGGACTACAACTATCTGTTAAGACAGAAATTTGGACATGGGACTTCTTTCAATCACTGAGAAAAATTCAATACTGTGCACATCCACATCCTCTTTTCCACAGGAGGTGTTATCAGTTGTTAGTTTGCCTTCTAACACACAATTGCCCTTTATTTATTTATTTAAAAAAAAAAAAAAAAAAGGAACCATCCATCGTTGTCACATTGAAATAACCAATATCACAGCGGCAGCTTCAGCCTGAAACTTCGGGGGAGATTTAAAAAAACATAGTCACATGCCTTCTCTGTAAAGAATATAGACACGACTTCCACATGCCATTTAGGTTGTAAGGACAGCTCTCTTCACCCCATGTCCCCGGTTTAGTTTCCAAGCTATGGGGACACAGATTTTGCTGGCATGTGCTGCCACCTAATGGTACGGAAACCATCTGTCTAGACGGAAAGGCAGAAGTGTACCAAAACAGGGTGAAACTGCAAGGCAGGCTTCACAAACCACTCCTCTGAAGTGCGCAGTTTTTCTCTGGGACAGTAAGTGACATATCAAGTATATGTAAAGAACTAGAAAAAGTCAGTGATAGATTTCACCTCTACTTGCCTCCTGCAAACCGTGGATAGAGAAATATTTTTTATGTTCATATACATCATCTCACATATCACCTGATGACACTATACAGATACACGCACATTTTATATGTACATATATCATACTTTCATCTCATAGGGTCATTATGTTCTAACCTGATTCTAACCAGACTGCTTCTAGCCAAAAGGTGTCCCCACAGCACCACAGAAATACCATTAGGAGGTATCCTTGTTGAGCACCTAACAGCTAGGAAGGCTACTTAGTACCCATATCTCAACTTTCTATCCCCTCACTGAGGAAATAAACCAAAAGATCTAAGTAGAAATAACTGAGATCAAATCCACATATTCTGTTTGCCAAAATCCTGCAACAGCTTTTCAGATAATTAGCACACAAAAGCCTCCAATATAATCCAGAAATACTAAAAGAAAACCTACAGCCCAAACCAAGAAGTTACAAAGCCCAAAACGTAATTGAGAGGAAACCTTGTCACCCAACCCACATTTCACAACCCCTACCTGTTGTGTCCTCAAGGAAGATATAAGAAACCCCAATCTGTACACTCATAAAATCAGCTCCACAAAGAAGAAAAGTAATAAATAAATATATGCAATGACCAGCAGCTGCCCTTAATAACATTTCAGTAATATTTCTATCTTTTTCTTCCCAAAAGGGGATACCTTCCTGCCTCCTCTTATATCACATTCCTCTCCATCCCCATAATGACTATCACGTGCTGTCAATTACCTTCAATTAATTCAAGCTGGTGGTAGCCTCCAACACCATCACTTTCTTCTCCTTCTACTTTAGAAGCAGAGATTATGGATTGAATGAATTGATTGAATGATTGAATGATGAATCCTGAACTGAAGAAGTAGCACAAGTGTGTAGAAGGGGAAGGAGAACAGCAATAGCCACACAAGCTTTAGGCACAAAAACTAGGAGAGGAGGAGAAGTCTGTGCTAAAAGAACCCACAAAGCTTTTCATTAAGTCTAAGGCAAAAGCTTGTCAAACAAGCAGGGACTTTTAAACATATCATGGGCTGGTTTTCTGGAAAGAATAAAATAAACAAATAAAAACTGAATTAAATATAATTTGTAAAACAGTGTGCTTTTCTCACCACAGACAACTGGAAGGGTTTGTTTGGGTCCAAAGCCTTTTGCTTGTTTTGATACCCTGATTTCCACTTACTGACCTGATGATACATTGTGTGACTTGCAATTTTTGCCAGTGTTTCAACAGACAACAAAATCAGTTTCTTTGGAAAATGGAAGAAAAACAAACCAAACCCTACAACTTGATAAAGCCTGAAATAATCACTGGGTATACTGGCTATATTTCTGTTGAAGTTCATGCATTTGTTCTTGTGAGTTAATTTGAGGGGCAAGCAAAGAGTGGGGCTTGCTTAGAAAGACCCACAGTGTTTTGGCAGGTCTAAAACAGAGCTTGACACAGTGTGGTGCTCTGCAGCAGCCTCTGATCCACTCATCTTCCCGCTGAGCTTGTTCCTGCCAACAGGCCCCACTGTGTTGGTTCAAAGATGGAAGGAATAAATCCATAAACCACCCTGATGTCTCCTGCCACATACAAAAAAAATAAATAAATAAATGACATAATGCCTTTTCCAAATTCATAAGGCTTGTGAAAGCACAAGTGGTACAATGTCTCAGCTGTGTCCCTTTTAAACGGTTTGTGTTGTCTTAATCATCTCTACCTCTCGCTTGTGCGAGGGATGTCAGGGCTTCCTGACAGCAGCGCTGATCTGAGCACCATGAAGTTCCGTGTCACTGGCTGCAGCCAAACTTAGGACCAGCCCTGGAGGTGTCTGCCTGTGTAGCTGCAATTTCCTCGTTTGTGCATGGCATGGCTGAATTTCAGACAGTATGGGGCCTTTTGGGAAGAAGAGAGGAATGAGTCATCTGTGTATAGTATGATAACTACATGAGTGTTCTCATTTAAATAAAAAGAAATCAGGCAGAGCTCTCAGAGTTTCTTATAAGGTGTTGTACAATAAGGTTTAGGGAAGGCTGCTGTGCCTCCTAGCGCTGTAGTAAGTACTGGGACCAGACAGGAGCTGGCTGACTGACTATATTCATTGCAAGTTGACAGAAAGAGAAAGCACAGCCCAATGTATTGTCACTAATCATTTATAGCAAGGATCTCTTGGCTGTCTTTATGCTTCTTTTACTGTTTAACTGGAATGCCACAGTAGCAAAGGCCCTCTTGTTCTAAAAACTATGGGCCCCATCATGTTGCAGCATCCTCTCCATCAGCTGACAGGAACATCTCATGAGAAAAAAGCAGGGGCCTGCTTCTAGCATCAACCCTAGAAACAATTAGTGGTAACACATTTCTCAGAACATTCACAAATTTTTGTTCTTTCCCCTTTCAACAATGTGCAACACTTGGGCTTCTGCGTTGCCAGTACCAGTAACAGAGCTCAAGGTGATGCTTTTTTAGGGTGGCCAGACACAGGTGATGGTCAAGGCCAATGAGGGTCACGGAGGCACAAAAAGAGCTTGAAAGCCCAAGAAGAGCATTGTCCAATCACTGTGAGCATGGCTAGCCAATGGAAGCATAGATATGACTGGAATTTGGGATGATTTGAGGGAGTGCAGGATATGGCTGGCATTGGTTGCAGTTCTCAGAGTGCAAAATTTAAAAAAGGGACCCTATCCTTTAAAATTAAAATATGTAAGATAAGGGGTGTGCAACTATTCCCTCAAATTGTCAGCTTTGATCAGCACTCAGACCTTAGCTGTAATGCATATTAATGAATAGTTTATATTTTTAGGGTAGCTTTAGAAAGGACTGCAGGAAACTTCCCTACACCAGCTCCTACTTGGTGGTCGCACTAGCCTGGGGAGCCTGAGTAGTTCAGCATTAGGGTGCAGTCTGTGCACCATGAATTCAAGTCTTCTCTAAAACTTTTTAAAGAGAATCCCTGACAATTTTCTCCCTTATTACGTCTTTCTGAGTGCAAACTGTCACATCTCCTTGCAGCCAAATGTGTAAGTATGTAATCCACCAGGACATTTTTGATCTGTTCAGAAGCTGTCATTTTTTAGAAGTCTTCACCGGACTTGCTGCCGTGCTGTGGATGACCACGTTTGGATGTGTCTGAATGGGGAAATCATCGACACTTGAAGCCAAATTTCCCAGTATGCTCAGATTTACTCAATATTTAGTGGCCAGGAAGGGCCAAGAACCTAACATTCTTGTCACGCTGACTGACTGGATCCTTGGTCTGCCCCTGCAGCTGCAAGGACATCACCCCTGGGAAAGGGCCACATGCTGCTCCTGTGGTGTATTCGCTGTTGGATAGAGTAGTTGGTACAGTCAGAGAGGAGTTGTATCGCTTTGTCAAAATCCACGGATCTTTTTGCTTATCATAACCATGCTTCATTAGTCAAAATGATACACAGTCTTTAAGAAAAGGTCCTCAGTTCCTGTATGGCAGGCTACTGCGTAATAGGGTGCCTCAGGGTAGAATATCAGCATTTTTCATCAGTATGTCATGTACTAAATCAAGCGTGTTTCCCTGTACATGGGCCAGAGACATAAGAAAGAATATAAAATCATAAAATTGTAGTACAAAAGATGATCAAATGGACAGCATTGGCCTGTGACTGAGGTCAACATTACAAGGTTAAATTAATCCAGCATAACATGTACAGCAGCTGGAAAATGTAATTTATCTTGCTGCAGTACCTCACTTCAGCACTAGTATTAGTATGACCAGGTAATAAACTGAAGTGATGGAGAACTAACCGCATATGTTTGCTGGGTGAGGTGTCAGCGAGACTGGCTGCTGAGCTGTCTCTTTCCATGGCTCTCCTGACACTGCTGGTGGCACAAACAGGGCACAGCAAAATACAGGCAAAAGTGAGCAGGAGGCAGGGAAAAGTAGTGGCCAGTCTGCACTTTTCCATGGCAGCATGAATTTAAGATAAAAGACAGGGACATGAAGTTGTGAGATTGGGATACTTCATTTTAGTTTGTTTCAGACACAGACTGGGCGGATGATATCAAGTTACTTAATTTCGTCATTTCTAGATTCCCAATTTAAAATCAAGGGACATATATGTGTTCGAACAGGGTAGTTGTGCTTATTTAATTTGTTAGGTGAGGGTCATATAAAATACATTAATATAAACTAAAATACACAGAATAAGTTTTGCCCATTTTCTTTAATTTTTAAAAACAAGTAAGCAGATGAAACCTTGTGCCCTTGAACACCAGAGTCTTCCTTTGTGCAAAACATTACATACATTGTTGTTTTTTATTGTATTATTTTAAATAATACTGCAGATACTTCAGAAAAGGGCAATACTGTTTCTACCACATAAAAAAATGATCATGATATAGTTGTTTTCTGTATTTTCCTCCTCCATATTGTTTAAAAAAAAAAAAAAAAAAGAAAAGAAAAGAAAAGAAAAGAAAGAAAAAAAAAAAAGGAAAAAAATCACAAATACTATTAGGAATTTCACCCTCCCACAGCCCTCCCCACAAAAAAAGAAATATATTTTAAAAAATCAGTAGTGTTAAACAAGTCAGATATTAAACGCACACATTTACAAGCACAGAACATTAGCAATACTGTGTAATGCTTTAGACCATGCCAAACCATATGTATGTGTATAAAGCTACAGGTAAAATGGTTCATAGCAGCAGAATAGGAAGCATATTTCACACAAGTACATAGTTCCTGTGGAGATATTCAGATGTAGACAACAGTTCAAAGTACTTTGACAAGCTATAATGCACAAGTCAGCTTTTTTTTTTTTTTTTCTGCTACAGCATCAAATGTTCTGATTTAAAGGGCAATCCTGACTTGTCTGGGATTTTAATTTTGTGTCTAATGGGTGGCCAGTTGAAGGCTGTGTGTTCCACCTATTGGTACATTTTGCTATTTTGCTGTAAACATTCCTGAGGTGTCCTGATTCCAAAAGCTAACTTCACTGAAATCAAGACTAAAACATAACCTAATAAGGCATCTACATATGCACATCCTTCACTGATAAAAAAAAAGGTTGGTATTTCCTTGCAGAGAGAACATAACCCATCGTAAGATTCCGCTGTAGTTTTGGGGCCTTAGATTCTGGTGGGTGCGGAGAAAAAGGGACATTGGGTTGGAAATATTTATCACTTACTAGGACTTCCAAAGCTTTTTATTTCTAGGTTTTGGAATGAGCATGTTTTCAATGTCGATATGCACCTTGCAGTTGCTTTTTTTTTTTTTTTTTTTTTTTTTTTTTTTTTTTTTTTAAGCTATGTAACAGCCTGGAGTTTTAATTCTGGGAGCATTTCTCTTCCCAAAGTGGCAATGGGGCTGTGATTTCTTTAGTCAACTCCTGTTCTGGATGTCCACCTGAAGACTCCCTCTGAGGGGGCCCAACATTCACAACACGGTGGCTTTGCACCTTTATAAAGGCAAGCTCCTTCAAAACGTCCTCTCCTAAGCACCTAGTGATAGAGACATGCAAAGTCAAGCAGGACTTGGAATATTTGAAATGGAATTGTGACAGAAGGTTTTAGACACCAAAACACAAAGTGAAGTGAAATGAAATAGGTCAAATTGATGTGACTTGAGACAAAGTAATTCTATGAAAGATGCTTTTTTATGAGGTCTGATAACATAAGATCACAATGAAATGCTGACCACATGTACAGCTCGATGTAATATTAGGAGGTACTTAGTGATTTCTAGTGATCTGTTTTCCCCCTTGGAAGGCCAGCAGCCACTTCTTTTTCTAATAACTCCATTTGCCTGTATTTGGTGATTTTGAATTACAGAGAGGACAGCAGATTTTATGACTTCTCTTCTAAGCTTTCTTAGGCTGATTGTCTCTCCCCATCAAATACTGTGCACTATAGTACAGCATTCCTTCACAGGTTTATCATACAACCATTAAATGAAAAACAGGACAGGAAAAATTTAATCTTCCAGAATAAACAATAGTTTGGGATATTGGCAGAAGAAAAAAGACCAAGAGACAGTCTAGAGATTTTGATATTTGGAACTAACATTTGCATACCTCATGGTAATAATTTCCATCAGTTGGATGTACATCACAAAATCTCTTCTCATTCAGAGGGAGTCTGCTCATACCCAATGGAATAGAAAGGCCTGATATCAAAAACCTATCCTGATCCTTTTGTGAAACAGAGAAGTCACAACATCCTTGTCTTAATTCCTTCATTTGCACAATACATAAATTACCTCTTGGAACTCTGCTAGAGGTTAAGGACCAATTACCCTAGTGTTCCACCAAAAAATTCCTATTCTGACTTCAGTGCAAACCTCAATACCATTCAGGGTAAAATCAGTGCCAAACCTGAGAATATTTAGAAAGTACTTTGAAGATAAGAAAAGTCATATAATGCTACACAATGACATTACAGGATCCTTAATTTCTCTTAAGAGGAATGAATATATGTAGACAGACAGATTGGCAAATAGTTAAAGAGACAAAGACCAAATGTATGCAGAGCTCTAAACTTGTACTTTTTTTCCCTCACAATATCTCCATATATATAGAGTGACCTTGATCTCCTCCTGTTATACAAACATAGACAAACACATTTCACTCCAGGGGATGGGAAATGTCTACAAAAATGAAGCACTGGCTATCCAGACACTAATGAAAATGAAAAAAAAAAAGCTGTAGAGGTCTCCTGAAGCAGTACAAGTCATCTTAGAGACCACTAACTTACAAGAAAAGCACAATGTATACCTCTTAAAAATATACATTCTTAATTCAATCTCCAGAAAAACAGTGACTCAGAAATGGGGCTGTTCCACCACTTTTTCAGGCCCATTGCAAGGTGAAGGAAAGGCAAGAAGAGTGGTGCTTCCTGTTGGCTTCACAAAACGTGCCTTGAATGGAGAGCTCTGTTAGGTGCAAAATGCAGTCGTGCATCTGATCTGGCCCAGAGGAAAGGGCAAATCACAGACTGGTGCAAAAGCCACTGTCCCCAGGTGGTAAGGCTCCCACTGATTTTGGTGCACTTTGGATACAGCCCACATTTAGACACTAATAATGCAACAGCAGTTACACGTCCTCTGCCCACCCTCTCACAGTTTCTCCCAATATAAACAAAAGGACATTCTGGTCCCCTTTATATACATACATTAAAAGCTGAAATGGTCTGAAATGCTTAGAGATTAGAAGGCATATATCTATACAACATCACATCTGCTGGAAATCTAAGTAGAAAAGCTTTACACACATTTTACAGGTCCCTCTAACTTCTAAAAAACATTTACTGAAATTACCATATTAAAAGAAGTCATCACTAACATACCATATAATACTATTTTTTTCTTTTACATAGTCATTACTTATATAGTAATTTTTTAAAAATCACTTTTAAACAAGTATACAATTTTCACTTTAAAATTAACTGGTTAATAAAATTTTGTGCAAAACAAGCCAGCCTCTATAATTAAGTGAATTTATTTATTTTTATACAAAAAAAATAGTTCTTTCAGAAATGTGTCTCCTTTTCTGTAATGGCTGAAATGGTGCCATCTCCTTTCAGTTTGGCGTCGCAGTCATTTATTGCAGCAATGTAGGATCTTCCTCCAAGTTTCCCTCTCATTTTCAGATCCGAGCTAGGTGTAATCAACTTCCTGAATTTCTGCAAAATTCAAGAAAATGGAAATCATTATCTTTTTCTTGCAGACATGCATTTCCTAAATAGATTGACTACAAAACTCCTTTCTTCTGCATGTCGGCTTCTTCTCATTTCCCTGTTAGATCCATCCATAAAACTGTATGCCATACAGTTCTTTTCCTATCACACCAGACTAAAGAATAGAGAATGAAGGTGAAAACAAAGTCAAACTGAATTTTCATGCTGATTTAGAGTAACAGTTCCTTCCATGAATAAACTCAGCAAAATGCTCCAGGTGAGGCCTGCTATATGTGTACATTTTGTTTCTCATGGTAGTCAAAGCATATACACTGAAAAAAACTAAGATAATGCCAAGGCAGTATTGTGTTAGGCTACAATAAAGAAAAAAATTTATATATACATGCGTTCAACTGAGAACTTCCTATTTTCTAGAAATAACATCAGTAGCAACGTTGCTGTTTACAGCTTGGGGAGTAGAGATGTTGCAGGAAGCTGGCTTCCTGAGAAACTCCCATCTGTAATTGAAACAACAACACAACAACAGCTGCAACAAATACCTTGTAATATTCATGTACGGAAAAGAGCATGAAAAGTCTGCAGTCCTGAAATGTCTTCAGATGATAAGGCAATGCAAAACAAAAATCTATAGACAAAGCCTATCTACTTGCAGAGACGGAGTGAGGCATTAAGGCATTGAGGCATTAACATTAAGGAAGTATTTAATGTTAAGATTTATACAAGCTTCTTTCAAGAACACGCTAAGAAAACTTTACTATGTGCAATGTATTTAATGTTTACATACTCACAGTAAAGATTTCTTAGGCCATATCTAATCAGCTCAGTGGATTCATTTCAATATGGACTGCAATCAGCCAGCATAATAAATAACATCTTTCAGCTTCTCCACTCAAGAAAACAATGACTATTACGTGGAGATATAGTCAGATGTACTCAGATGTCATACCCATTGGTTCTGAATGGAGAATGATCTTGCAAGTGTGGGTATATGTTGTGAGAAAGATCATTCAAAGGTGCCAGATAAACCCCAAACACTTAAAAAGAAATTCTTACCATCTTGTTCTGTATTTTGGGAGTATCCTATAGAATATTGAAAAGACTTAGGAAGCATGGAAGAGACTTCCATACTGAGACAGGAGGTGGTAGTGGTGGGATACCTACTTTCATTGCCCAGTATTCCAAGGAACTCCATGTAAGATAACCATGTAAGAGACTGCTTTTCTGGAATATGAGAAATCCCAAACAGCCAAAAAAAGATTTATATTCTTGTTTCTTTGGTTATAGCCATTTTCTCTGTCTTTTGAGAAAGTATCTTATAATTAATAATCTTAATCTTATCCTAGACCTGAGATAACCTGATACTAAATTTTAGTAAATTATATCGAATATTTCTTTTTGCCTCCATTTCTCATGTAGAGAACTGTAATCAAGAAAACTGTCTGAAAACATATGCAAGTGTTTTCTACCCAGCTCCTGGTGAAAAATCTTGTTGGCACAAACATCAGTTACCAAAACCACGGAAAGAAAGCTGACTCAGCTGAAAGGCTGGTACAAATCTTCTCGAGGGATTTAGCTAATGTCAAAGACTTTTTAAGCTACAAATGGAGCAGGAAAAGGAACAAAGCACCTTAAAGTTAGAGTTAGAGTATTGGTTAGCTACAACAGGCTCAAGCCAATGAAGGCAGAAAAAAAAATAGGAAATTCAGAAGAAAACAGAGAGAATACAGATGCCTCTGTTCACAAGTGATGACACCAAGCTACCACTGGAACAGGTATGTGGATCTTACCTTAGATAAAGGCATTGAATTTGCAATTAGTGTGCTTAGTCTCAAGCAAATGAGAATTCCTTCCCAACTTCTTTTTTCAGTATTGCTAATCTGAAAATCTCACCTCTATGAAAGTGCCTTCTGCCTTCCACAGCTTAATGCAGATCCACAAAGGGATGCAGATCATGGAAGAGAGAGCCATCATCCACCCTATGCCATAGCCCCAGTCAGGGTATGTATATACATTGTTATATTTCAGAGGCTTGTATTTCACCAGGAAGAAAATGAAGATTCCCTGAAATAAGCAGAGAAACATATTAGTAGTACTTTAAACAACACTGTGAATTTAACAAGAAAATGACTGTTTTGTCAAGGACAGTCTACCTAAAGCTGGGAAACAGAGGTAAGCTTTACAGAGAAAAAATACACAGTAATGTATTCTTTTATGTACAGCTGAGCTAACGTGTCTCAGCTCCTTCTGCTGAAATGAACAACCTTTCAAGTTTAAATCCTATTTACCTCTCAATGACAATAAAACCTGCACTTTGATGGCAAACAGTACATGGTCAAGAAAGATTAAGTTTTGCTACCATGAACCAGCTGTGATTAGCTGCGTTCTCTCCAACCTGTCATGATGAAAAAGGAAAGCCAAAATCGTCAAAGTTGCTTTAATCCACTGTCTGTATCAGCAGTTCTGCACACCAAATCTTTCATCCTCTCAAAAGCTCTAACATATCTGTTTAAATTCAACAGGTATATAATTAAGAAGTTTGGACCATTTAAGTTTATGTAATACAGAAAAGTTACCATGTACTTTTCTCCAAAGTCTTGACAAGAATGCACAGGAGCAAATGATATTAACTTATTTTCAGAGTTGGAGAAAATTAGTCAGCAATTTCCCCAGCTTTACAAACAGAGTAAGTGACGGAGCTCAAGTGAACCTGGATCTCCAGCTGTCCCAATGCACCTTGCTATCAGTGGGACAACTGGAAGGTTTTACTATCTAATACTCCAGCATTTGTGGATCAAATTTATGGGCAATTTGGTTATGCTCCTTTTGCAATTTTGTCTTCGCTATGTAGCCACAGCAGAGCGCCACAATGGGCACCAGTACTCCACTCCTAGCTTCTTCCTTCACCTTCTTCACACATATGAGATATTCCTTGGCCTCTTCTACTACTTAAGCTTGAAGGAAAAATATGTCTTTGAAAAATGTCTAGTTATCCACAGAGGGAAGGAAACAGGAGGCTGGAGTGGCAAGGAAAATGTGTAAGTTTGGAGGATCTTGAGTTATGCCTAGTAGACATAAGGTATATTACCAAAGCAGTGAGGAAAAACCTCTCTTGTATTGGCAAATGTTCACGTAGGCCTCTGAGTTTTTTTTTTTGTTTTTTTTTTTCCTATTATTATATATGCAAATATTTCTCACAATTCACAGAGCACATACATTTAATGTTTTTATACACATCCTGCAGAGTATTTTTGAATTAAAACATATGTTGTAAACCAATTGGCATTTTACTCTACTGTTGTGAACTATTAGCAGCAACAAATTTCTAAAATTATGCACAGAAAACCTTCATTATGTCTAAAACAAGTTACTGAGATATTCTGTACTTACTGCACAAATACCTGGAGTTAAGACCATCCAGCACCATTTAATCAATGTTAGTGGTTTGTACCCAATCATATCCTCAATGTTGTCATAAAAGCGATTGCTGCCTGCCCCAAAAAGCAAATCAAAAGAAGATGTAGAATGTACATGCAAGAGATTATACAGGTCAGCATTTAAAACAGAACAGACAAAAACGTGGGTTCTGGCAGAGTTTCAGAGATCATAGAAGCCATCTCTTTCTCTCACATACATCGCTCTGTCTTTTGCTCCATACTTCTGGCAGAGGTTGCTGCCTATATGTGTCCGAGTAGGAGTGGGCAGTCAGAAACGGCTTCTGGTCAGTAACAGTTTGAGCAGGCCCAGTTGAAGATTATATATGCTACAAGCCCATATGTGAATCCTTAAATAGCCAGGGTCAAGTGCGATCTGAAGTTCATACATTGCTTTACATAGTAAAATTGTTAGGCTTTTCTATGCAAATAAATGTTTGATGATGCACCTTGAACATACCCAGAGCTTTGGTGGCTTTCCCCTGACTTTGCTGACAGAAGCAGCAGATCTAGGAAGGTTACTATGCCCCTTTTGTGTTAATGAGAAATGAACTCCAAGTCCCCTGGATTTATTTGCGCATGTCAGAAGTAGAAGGGAACATGTCCTGCAGAGACACTTTGTGAGAGAAGAAAGACTTATTACCACCCCTAATTTCTAAGGCAGCTGAGGATTTCTGCGGTGGAGGAATGTGAAGGTCAGTTCTGGAAGGAGCAAGAAAAACATCCGTTGCACTCTCCTCATTAGAGTGGAAGAAAAACATATTCCTGTCTTGTAGCAGAACACGGGAGTGTGGAGGGCCCTACTGCATAAGAGTACAAGGCCTTCACATTGTTTTTGTGCAAACAGAAAGCTTTCAAAAAAACTGAAAATGACAACAATTTTTAGCAACTCACCATAAACCCAGCCTATGCAGACACATTCAAATATGGCAACAAAAAGAAGGCACATGCCACTAGCTGCATACGAGTCAAATAACTGAAAGACGTACATCCCACCCTGAAAGACAGAAACAGAAAAAGGACAAAAAAATAAAACTGAAATGTCATGTTGGCAATGGTACAAATATTTCCCAGCAAATGTGTCTTTAATTACACAGTCAATCTGTTGTTTCCTCTGGCAATCTTCCTACTACAGTTGGCTCCTTCTTGAACACAGAATATTCATTTTTCAGTGGATGAATGTGAAGGATCTTTCCTTCCATAACACTTAAGATGATTCCCTATGCCAGCTGAATATTTGCTTTAAAGTAGTAATTACTGGAGTGAAGAGGCCTACATTTCACTTGTTCAAGAACACTCTCTCACCTCCTTACATTTTTATTTTTATTTTTAACTTCATTTGTTATCATATTAAACTGTAGATAATGGCGGGTGATTTTGATCTCCAGAAGAGTGCACATAAAGATGCAGGGCTTTTGTTTATTTGTTTTAATATCTGTGCTACCAATGTGTAAATGCATTAGTGGGTGCAAAATGCACTAGTAAGTGCAAATGTAGGGAAAGAAGGCAAAATCTATATCTACTAGGATCAATCTCCATTGGCATAGGGACTGTAAAATGAGTAAGCTCGAATATAAAGTTTGAATATAACTCACAGACTTTCATCTGCATTACTTAAGTGAGTCAATGTTTTTTGAGAAAACATGAAATAATAACAATCCTAATTCCAGGCAAGCTTCAAGCTTTTTCTTTTAAAGTTTTCCTAACAAGCTAAATATAGTTCACCAAGTGACTTTAAGTAGCAACATGTGCAGTTCTAAAAAGGAGATCAACCAAAACCAATCAGCATCCAAAGCAAGCATGGAATCCATACACAATGCGTAATACGCTATCAATAGTCCTGTAGTTTTCTGCCCTCAGTGGTGCCCTAGTACAAACCAATATGAAAAAGGTATATATGCTTATCCAAGACATCCTCCACTTCCTTACTGTTTGACTATGACTCAATTATTTCAGTTGTCAAATCTATCAGAGACAATTCTTTTATTCTCTTTCCCTCCCCCCCTTTTTTTCCCCCAAGATTAATCTCTTATCACATATGCTTTCAATATTGAAATAATAATGAGGAGTTTCACAGATCATTTCAACAGAAAGGAAACTTAAGACTTCCCTCTTTGCAGAAAGCTATACGAAGGAAATAGAGACTTGAGATCATCTCTTCAGTTGAAATATAATGCTATTTGAGTAGTACACATGATCTATTACATTTCAGACAATTTTCTGAAAATGGAAGGGAACTCTAAAAACAGAGAAAACTAAATCAAAAAACAGTATCTAGGATTTCCCTGTTTGTTTGTTTTTGTTGTTGTTGTTGTTTTGTTTTGTCTCAGCATTAACTAAGTGAAGGTACATTAAGGTGGACTCTTTACATTTGACATACTATCTAAATCTTCTTGCACATATGAATGTTCTAAAGTAATTTGTATATAAAATTGCATTGATGTCCAAGCAAGCATCTGGCAAAACCTCTGCTGCATAGGTAGGAAACGACCATATGTCTGAATGAAAAAGTTTTTCTTTAAGGAAAAACATATTTTATGAATACTCCAAAGCCTGAAGAAAAATCCAGGATTGTTTATTTAGAAAAACAAAAGAGGACAAGGGATACATATTTACTCTTGGAAATCTCCCTCATGCATAATGCTTTGATGCCTTGCTGAAGTAGCACAGAACAGAGTGTTCTCCTCTAGTGTGTCATTTCAGCATGGGATCATAGATATCTAGATTGCCTCACTGATGATGTACATACATGTAAGTCACTTCTCTCAATAAAAATTTATATCTCTCTAGTACTACAGAGAAAAAAAAATATATTATATATATATATATATGTCCTTTAAGGTTCCCCTTGAATTTGATCACCATTCAAACAAAAAGTTGTAGTAAAAGCGCTGTGGAATATCAGTCTTCTGCGGTGGTTTTACTCGGGTGGGCAGCGAAGCTCCACCACAGTTGCTCTCTCACTCTGCCTCCTCAAACAGGAAAGGGGAGAACACAAAGGGTTCAAGGTTTGAGGTAAGGATGATTTGATTAACAGGAAAAGGAAGAGGGGAGGAAAAAAAAAAAAAAAAAAAAAAAAGCAAAGGCCATGCGGAAGCACAGAGAGAGAAAAGCCATTACTCTCTACTTCCCATCAGCGAGAGATGTTTGGCCACGTTCAGGGATGCAGGGCCTCAACACGCGTAGCGGTTGTTTGGGAGGACAGATGCTTCAACTAAGAGAGCCCCCCCCCCCCCCCCCCCCCAACTCTCCTTCCCCTTTCCCACCTTTATTGCTTTTATTTCATTCCATATGGCATGGAATAGCCCTTTGGTCAGTTAAGGTCAGCTGCCCTGGTGACGTCCCCTCCCCATCACTTGCCCACTCCCAGCCTGTTGGCTGTGGGGGGCTGGAGGGAGTCCTGATGTGGTGCCAGCACTGCTCAGCAGCAGACACAACACTGGAGTGATACCAATGCTGTTCTAGCTACACGTGCAGAGCACAGCACTGGGCTGCTACAGTGAAAGTCAACTCCATCCCAGCCAGACACAGCACACCTTCCCAGGCCAGAATAAAAATACTGAAGTCAATTTTTTTTTATGACATGTGATTTTTTTTCCTTGCTCCTAATGTAGATGCTTTTTTGATTATTAGCTGCATTTGCTTTTAGTTTGTAGTGCTGCCTCTGCCAGCTGGCTACGTTCCAAAATCTAGCAAGTGATAATCTTTACTGCAAAAAGCTCACTGTGAGGTTCAGCAAATATCTGAGCAGACTGGAAGCTTAGAGATTAACCAAAGAAATACATTGTAAGAAAAACACTTCTGCAAAATTCCTGGAACAATAGTCCTGCCATTTTGCATACCTTACTTTCTCTTAATTCTTCATGCTCATATTTCTGAACCTGTACATCTTGATAATGCATCTCTCACTGCTCTGCTTAACATGCAGACTGTGGGAGGAATTATTCCAAAATTTTCTTATTTTACATAGCAAAGATGATTTATCTTACTGAAAGCAAGAATAATTACAAGCAAATTGGTCTCTGTTCTGCTCCAATGCCCAGATTACAGGGACACACATCTGGAAGAAATTCTTAATCAACTTTTGTCAAGTCCTTTGTTCTCACCGGGAAAAATCACATAATACCTTTCACAAACTGACTGGCAATCTGAATTCCAGTACAAAGCCAGTTATAACTGTTATTCTTGGAAAAACTCCCAGAACCTCACTGTTCTGGTGGATAGAGATCCTTTCCTAATTTTCAGCCTGTAATTATTCATGGCTGGCTCATACACCCTGACTTGGGGATGAGAGAGAAGGAGCCATTCTATTTGCAGAATAATTCATGTTTATACTTGCTGCTACCTTTATGACATGCTTACAGAAAGCATACGTGTACCCTTCATTTCCAGCATTTCTCTAGTCACAGGTACAATCAGTGCTTCACTCCTAGGATTATCCTCCCTGCTCTTGTTTTGCATGTTGTCCCGGTCTGAACCGGAATCATACAGAATATTTCAGTGGGACTATTACCTTGTTCACTCATGGGTGTATTCCCATCTCTCATCTGCAAATACCTCTCTGGAAACATCTAAGAAACAGTTTGTACCAAGGACAACAGACTAACATGTCTACAATTGCCTAATGTCTTTTTCAGATGAAATTTGTTTTTTTTTGGTACCAAAGCAAGGTCTAAGGACTGTCCATACAGCAAGTGTAAGTGACCCCAGATGAGCTGATGAAACCCTGGGAATCTGCTTCACTGGGAAACCCTGCCAAGATTGCTGTACAACAGAGACACATTGTGGCCCTTCACAGTTAAGACAGCAAGGCTTCCTCAGACACACATTCTTCTGGCATTTAATTCCACAGCTCATCAGACATGCAGCTCTTTTCTTTGCCTCTCTCCCTGGTGCAGGGAGGTTCTAATGGCACAGCAAGCAGGGGAGAGTGTGGACTCTGCCTGTCTGATGGTTGTTTTAAGAGGATAAATTGAAGGAGCAGAAGACTGTTTATACAAGTCACTCTGTAAAGCAAGCACCGAGCAGCAAGACTAAACTCGCACCAAGTAGTAAAGGATCCCACAGTCCATCCCCTACCTGGGCTCCAAACACAGTAATTGCAGACACGTATCATGTATTAATGGGATGGACTAACACCTTCAGACGTTTTGGCTTACAACACCCCAAAGCAAACACCCTTGTTTGTTTGAAAAAAAAAATATATATATATATATTTTTTTTTTCCTGTTACCATCATACCAAAGCAATTTATGCTCAGAAATGGACTGTATTGATTTACCTGGAGATATTAAAATCAAAGATATTTTAGCTTTCTTTTTTCACTTTATCACGTTCACTGATTTATTTATCTAAGACATTTTCAGACTGGTCTGCCCAGAATAAGTCAGCTGAAACCATGACCAGGATACCTGTTTGGCTGGTGTAAAGCAGATGGAATATCCTTTGCTATGTAACTTCAAATAAGATACTTCCTAAGCTAAGCAGAAAAATTGAGGATACATTTCAAATATCATGAAGCAGGTGAGAACAGTTTCTCAAGAATTTTGTAGTCATATTCCTGACAGCACAATTTGTCTATGGCAAATATTCATGTGTTTTTATCTGTCATGCTTATAAGCAGACACCCGTTTGTTTTTGTCTGCAGGAATTCAACAAAACACATCTTACCTCAGTCAACATTATCAGACCAATGAAATATGACACAATGGAAAGTCCAAGAATCAACAGTTCTCTTCTGTAACCCCTTCGGAAAATCTTTGGGTACATATCTACAACAGCTGTCACGAGACTTTCAACACACACGAACTAGAACAAATGACAAAAAAGTACAAATAAAATATGTCTCATCTGCTCTTGGGATTTGGATTTGCTACAAAACACTTCAAATTTCCTTTTATGTTCTCATCAGAGAGAAAGACTGAATGATCCCTGAGGATACTGTAAGCTCAAACTGAGAGGAACATCATTTCAGAATTAAAAAGCCCACAGCTACGGATTTCCAGTCCACAACCAAATTCAAATAGTTGAAGCCACTTATATTATATCAGAATTGTTTTGCCCTGTAGCAGATGGATTACATAAAATTCATATCTTTCAAATATTGCTTGAATGGGACTTATATGATGTATGACTTTTGCATGACTGCAGCAGAATTTCATTCAAAGCATCCTGCACTTTCATTTCTCAGAGGAACGATGTGCAGTTCTATGCACTTTCAAGCAATGCTAAATGAGCTGTGGCAGGGTTTTTGTTATTGGTTGGTTGTTTGGAGAAGCTCTTTCCATTTTATAAAAGCGAGAAGTTCCATAAAGTTATTAGGTGCCTGAGCCAAATACATCTAATGAAGGAGGGGATGAACATTCTTGCTAACTTTAAAAATCACCAGAAAGCCGGAGACCTGAGCACCTGGCTCAGGGCTCTGTTGCAAAGTTTCTAAAATAGCCATCAAAATGAATGCCCCCAAGTAGACAATACAAAGACTGTGTCATTGAAACATTCAAGAGTAGGATTCAGAAATTGCTTATTTTCAGACTTTTGATAAAATTTGTTATATTGGAAAAAAGAAAAGTTATTAAAACCTGTATTTTAATGATTGGAAATGTCATGCAAAATAAACACTGGTGATATTTATTTTACAGGATATAGTCATACAGTCTGTGAAAAAAATCACACAGAGAGCTGAGCTGCGTACTAAAAATGTCAACCACTTCATATTTTTCATCAAATAATATTCACAAATTTTATGGTCACATAGGAAGGATTTCTATGCTGTCACTTTACTGCCACATTTCTTGCTGTGGCATCTTGAAGTATGAACACACCATATGAAATTATGTTAGCACTGTCTGAAACTTGGTTTCAAAATTCTTTGCAAAGTGCTTTAAAAACTGGAAAGGATTACACACTGACATTCTACTGAATTGTGAACTTCAATCACCCATATTGAAGTTCAAACTGATTTCCATGTTAACAGTGGAAACTGTAGTCAGGCTGAATCAATGGTCTCAATAAGATAAAGGAATCTCTACTATCATATAAATAAGATTTAAATAAGGAACTTGAGTCAATGGTTTTAAGCAACAAATTAAGTTAGGGTTCATTCTTTCATCAGGTTAAATGCTATTTAAGGTTGGTGATACACACATGCTAGGGAATCTGACCAAATATTTGAATGGTGTTTGTTTCATACCTGACTATCTAATCCAAGGAATATGAGCATCATGAAGAACAGAGTTGCCCACAGGGGAGAAAGAGGCATCATAGTAACAGCTTTAGGATAAGCAATGAATGCAAGTCCTGGTCCTGAAAAGGAAGAAAACAAAGTAAACAGTTTATACTTGTGTACTGGGTCTGGCTGGGACAGTGTCTTCCCAGCAGTTTATATAGTTCTGCATTTCAGATTGTGGCTAGAACAACTTTGCTAACACCAATGTGTTGGCTACTACTTAGCAGTGCATGCTCAGCATCAAGGCCTTCTTGTTTTCCCACTCTGCCTACCCCTAGCAAGTATGCTTGTGGTAGGCAAGAAGCTGGGAGGAGACACAGCTGAACAGCCAACTCAAATTGGCTAAAGAAACATTCCATACCATGTGATGTCACGATCAGCAAGAAAACCTGAGGTAGAAGAAGAATGTGGGAGCTGTCTTCCAAGGTGGCCATTGCTCAGAGAATAGCTGAGCATCAGTCTGCTCATGGGAGGGGGTAATTGTTTTTGCATCAGTTGTTTTTTATTCATCTTTCCTTATTAAGCTGTCTTTATCTTGACCTACAAACAATTTTTCTCACTTTTTCTCTTCCTATTTTCCCCCACATCACACTTGGGTGGGCAAAGAAGTGATTGTCAGTGTGAGTGCTTAGCTGCTGGCAACAATCAACTAGGGACAAATATTCATTTAAATATTTGGTGAAAAGGCTACTCAGAAATAAGGACTTGCTTGGCAAATCAGCTCTGCCTACATCCTGTCCAAATGATGAAATGTCCGAATGATGTCCAAATGAAGGTCAAGACTTCTGCTAAGACATCACTGTGCCTTATGTTCTGTTTCTTTGTATGGATGTACAAGACTCCTATGCCTGAATAGATAACAGTGTGTTGTCTAACTGAACACATTCTGAAATTAGATTTCAGAATTCTGAATTCTAGAATTCTGAAATTCTAGACTGGCATTAGCAGTCTAGAAATATGTAGCTGGATGTTATGTGTTAAGCAAGACTTGAGAGGACTTGCAAAGATTTATCCTAAAGATCTCGTTTCTCATTGCTTTGAAAGCTTTGTCTTTTTTGTTTCTCAGAAGTAACATACATTTTCATGGATTCAGGTCTGTCTCGCTTAAAGGAAACTAAATGCTTCTTTCATGAGGATATAACACTCAAGGGGCATAAATGAGTAATGTATCTGTTAAATAAACTGTTGGATGCTCAGCTGGACTAAGTTTGTGTTACAATAGCTCATTAACCTAATGAGTTTGGTGCTCTGCACAACAATATTAATGTTACTCACACATAAATGTATCACTAAAAATAGTTAAGAACTCTTCACATAGAATTTTTCTAATGAATTAAGTAACCAATATTTAAGAGGAATTTTGTCAAAATTTCTGCAAAACAGTTAACTTATCCATGAGATACTGCACAGACTAACTATTCTGACAGCAGCCTTTGGACATTTTTTGTTCACTCAGAAAACCGCTTTTGGAACTTACCTGATTCTGCCACTTCTGCAATGGGCACACCTTGTTCATAAGCCATAAATCCAAGAACTGAAAAGATAGCAAAACCAGCAACAAAGCTTGTGCCACTGTTCAAGCAGCAGAGCATGATGCAGTCTCTGAAAATATAAATAAGAAATACTGCAGTTGATCTCCAGAGCCTGGGTTTCTTTCATATATTGAGCCATAAAATTAATAGAACCCCAAGCTGCAGGAATGGACATTAAGCTCTGAAAAAGCTGCCAAATGATAGTATGCCTGAAAGAAATCAGGCAGGCATAAGCATCTGCAGAAAGATACCTTTATAATACTTCTGCTTGTATTTTAACTGGCTGAATTGCAAACCTGTTTCTACTCGCTCACTGCTTTTCAACAGAATCTTTAAAAAAGCACAGTCAAGTAAAATGTAAAAATGGGATTAATAACAATTTTTCTTCGGTAGTTGTAATAACATACTACAGAGGATATAAATACATTTATAATTTATAAATAAATTTATAAATTATTAGTAATTTGTTCCCTGGAAAAAAATCCTATGATTAGATCTTAGCTAATACTACCCCAATTACAGTACAATGGCAATATGTATCTATACAAAAATACAATCCTGGTTTGCTTTAAAAACTCTTTGTTTTTTAGAAGTCATGGTAATGAAAAACAGCATACACATTCTAAGAACTTTGTACGTTCCAAAGTGTCTAGGAAGTAAGCAAAGAGAATGGGCAGAGACGCTGTCTTCCCAGACATGTATCCTACACATGACAATTACAATCCTACAATGGTAATTACGAGGCCAAAGTGAAGAAATATGTCTTTATCTAGATTGGAAATTTCGCAATAGTAAGTCACGTTAAAATAAAGGGAAAGTATTGTTGGAGAAAGGTATGATCATTCCCCAGAGCTCAGTGAAATATCATTGTTTATCCTGCTTTCAAACAGCACTTCAGGCTTGTCAGATGAGGATACAGGGATGATTTATTATGACAGTTTAAGACAGTTTGCTACAAGAGACAGCTGTGTACTTGTGAAAGTAATGATCTAACCTAGATGTCTGAAAATGAATTTGGAATCTAAAACACTGAAACACAAGCCAAGCCTCTAGTTCTGTAAAGCCTACTCCTTAGCCTGGTTTATTCCCTTACTACTACAGCTCTGAAGAAAGTTTTCATGCAAGCTGTCTGTGAGAAGAAATGACCCTGAATAATCTAACAGTTTCTGAATCTATGTCTTAAATAAAAATTCTCATCTTTCTCATAGAGTTGTAGTGACTTCTTGAGAATCAAAGACATAATTCATATCTTTCAAGTCCTGTTGTATACTCTGACCAAACCTATTTGGCAATCTTTCTGCATTATTGCTTGTTTAGTTTGGTATTTTTATACTGTAACTTTATCTCATCTGTTCCTTAAGTCAGAAGTGGGCAACCAGTTCCAGCATCTAATTCCTTCACTAACGGGCCCCAAATTGCCTCCCACATCTGTTCAAAGCTCCTCCTTTACTGACTTGGACTCACCTTAGCATCAGGCACATACACTCTAAATGGCAGGAAGCAGGTATACATTTCAGTACTGCAAAGTGAGTGCTGAACTAGGGCTCTTGGGCCGTGGGAGGCTTTGGCTCTGTCTCTTCACACCTTACCTACAATTAATTTTGATGATTATTTTAAGAATGTTTTTATGCTTTCATATCCATTTCATAGAAAACCTTTTCTGTATGGCATACCATCTACTAATTGCCCAAACTGGTACAGAAATGAGAAAGAGTTTGTAGATTAAGATGTGGATGCAGAGAAGTCCGGTGATCTTCACACTCCTTTCATGCATGGGCCCTCTCCCTCACTGTTCATTTATTAACAGAGTTAAATAGGTCTTTTAAAATACCTTCTTAAAATTCAGAAAGCAGAGTTCTAACTTTTTAAAGTTGATTTTCATATGAAATTTCTTCCTGTAGTTGTGGACAGACAGGCTAGTCATGCATTTTAAATGTTTTAAAGCAAAACTACAATCTAAAAGAAAAAATGGGGAGCACTGTGTCCTTTGCACTTTGCAGTGAAATAAAACAAGGAAAAGACTCACCTTCCTAACCATTCTTCTCCATGTATTTCAGCACTGAATAAATAAACCTGGAGAGATTATCACCCCAATCTCTCACCTAAGAAATCAGTCAGTTCAATGCTGAGAAATTAAGACTAAATATAATGAAATATTCTCGATAAAAGACATCAAAAAGATGTTATCTTCATCCATTAAAAAAAAAAATTAAAAAAATGCTATTTTAAAGGGGTCGATCTAACTGCTCAGCATTTGTGTGATGCTTCCATTTGGAACAGCCAGTTTTCTGCAAATAAGATTTTACATAACTCCCAGGCTTTAAATGCAGTCCAACCACCACAATATTTTTTCTGGTGAGTGGTGTGGTACAGGACATCTGAGAGCTGCTGGTTCCTGCCTATGAGAAAAAAGGCTGAGTTGGAGACATGCTGCTCCCTGCAAATCTTTAGAGCATCTGGTGGGTGCTGCTGCATCCTTGTGGGGGAAACAAGGCCCAGGTGGTTTAAGCTGGACAGTCCTGGGTAACTAGATCATCTCAGAAAGTAACAAGAGGACCACAGCCATTTCTGCACTCACAGGGAAGATACATGACCCACGTTTCCATGAGGTTGGTTTGGAACAAAATAGTTACAGGTAGGCACACGTTTCTCAAGGGAAATGGGCAAAAGTGAACCTAATGGGATTTTTACCATCTCCAGTTAGTGAAGTATCTATTAATAAAACACAGTCACAGCTCCACTATTTTGTTCCCCAGTTGGACAGTAATAGGCCAAAGACTTCGTTCTCTGGGAATGTAATAGTGTTTCCCATCCTAATAAAAATATAGCCTCCAGTTTGAATTGGATTCATTGATTGAGAAACCAATGAATTTTTGAAAGCGAGTGCTCAGGAAACATTGGAAGGAAAACACAAAGTATATCTGCTTTTCCATCAAATTTTTATAAGTATCCTTGATAGGAAGACATCAGAGCCTGACTGAAGCCCAAGTGCATTTCAAATGAATGGAAATCTTCAAATTTTTATGAAAACTTCACATTCTTCCAAATGAATGTCTTGACGATCACCTGAATAATTCAAGGCATAATTCAATTTATCCTCTCCCTGCCTGACAGCCTGGATAATGCTGGAAATCCATTCTGCCTTCCTTTGCATGCTTCCAGTTACCTCCTTGCATTTATGGAATCCCTGGTGGCCAATACCCCCTTCCTCTTTTCCTCTTAGACTGGAAGCTTGATCAAGGCCATATATATATATATAATTTTTTTCCCAAAATTTTGTCCATTTGTTGACAGTACGTGAAATTATTCATTTATCTTCTGCAATGCAGCAGAAGTGAGACAGATGCCCCATGAATTGTACAAGAGCTTATATGTAAAAACTGTCTTCCTCAGGTGCAAGTAGTGGTGTTGTGAAATCAGTGTTTTCCTTGATGGGGAACTGACCACTGTCCAGCAGGGAGCTAGATTAGTTCTGCAAATACAGAAAACATGAAGCAGGAACAATAGTTTCCTCTTCTGTCTACTGAGGGAGTGGGAAGTTACAGAATCCTTCCCTTAAGGTCTAAATGGGTTAGGATTTCTTAGCTTGCTAAAAATTAGAGGAAACATAAGTACACCTCTTTTTTTTTTTTTTTTTAATATATGGAAAACATTGCCAGTGGACTTTACTGACTTTTCATCTTTTCTTAAGAGGCACTGTTGATATAAACTGTTGTAAACCCAGAGAGGATTTGGCCTCATAATTTTCTCACTGTCTTAAAGCATTACAAAGAAAGATTAGTAAAAACAATAAAACTTAATTTCTTATTTAAAGATGTGCAGTGACTTGTTTGCAATTAACTTATAATATTAATGACCTAGATCAGGTTGCTAATGAAAACTTTTTTTTTCCCACTAAAACACACTAAAATACATCACGTCATTATTTTCTTCGGAAACTTACCCTTAGGAAAAAAAAAAATCTCAGTGTGCAAAAAGAGTGGAAGTGCATGTTACAACCAGACAATTACACTGCAGGTATTTCTGAAGTCAAATCCATGGCCTGGTTTTCCTTTTTTCTTTTTTTTTTCCTTTTTTTTTTTTAAGTGGTAGTTAGAATATAAGTTTAATTCCACTTTCCACTGTAGAGAAGAGGCTGCATAGCTGTTTTGTACAGCTTGCTCTGTTAACACCCCTGTTTAAATCAGCTGCTTTCTGCAGTTAGCTTCTGTCTCACTTGTTTCTTCAGTTTTATGAAGAATCTTACTTTGTGACACCATAAAATCTGTTCTATTTTTTTGTGAAAACACTTTGTTAAAGGAATTGTGAAGACTGCATTCAGAAAAATAAATAAATATTTGGTTGCAGCATCTTGTCCATGAGCTTTGAAGTGAGCTGCTGATCTATTTTACAGAGATGCCAAGCTATACTGTCAGGGTCAGAGGAGAAGAAGAAAAATTGTCTAAGTTCTCCCAGTCACACATCAAAACTCCTGCTTTTTGTAAAAAGTTTCAAAACCATTGCAAAAAGACTACTGCCATCCTTGAGGAAGTTACAGAGTAGTTTTTTAGACATGATACAACTGGAGAGAAATAAAAATAAGATAAAATAACAAAAAAAAAAAAAAAAGAGTAGCCTTAAGTAGATCAGCATCGTTTACGCTAATTAGGGAAAACTCTCATTGTCCACTGTTCCTTAGGGGCATTCACTACCCTCTGTTGGAGCTTTATCATTATTCTGAAAATAACATCAATCAGTGTTGTTGGAATACTCTATGCGATTTCCACTACTTAATGTAGCAAGACATTTGGAATTTTGGCACTCGTAGCCATGTAAAACAATAACTTGTGCTGCTGCTGAGTTACTTTGCATGATTAGATAGCAGAGTACCCTTAATTGCTCCTGGATAGTTTTGCAGCCATTCAGCTGGTGGATACATTTGTGCCTGTGGTTTCTAGTCTCCCAGCTCTCTCTTTCTCTGCAGGATCCTACTGTTTGCTGTTTCTGGCAGAAGAGCAAATTGTTGCTAAGATAGCGAACACATTTTCTAAAACTGGCTCCTAAACTCTCCAGGTAAAATCATAACTAAGAATTTAAATTCCAACCCCATTTATTTATTTTGCTTTGGCTTTTGGGCTATATTATTATTTCCTTTAGAGAAAAATGAAAATTTAATTCCCTGTCTATCATAATGGAGTCAGTACATTCAAACTATCATGTACTGTCTTGTACATGTATTAGAGGCTGTTAACAGTAAGAAAGCTAATTCAATAACTACAAATGCCAGAGGAAAAACGTAGTGTTCATTTTCCTGCCTGTGCCAGTAAAATCGAATGGGAACTTTGTGTTGGAGTCATATCTTTTTGACTGATTCAGAAAAGATTAAAACCTGCTGAAGTCATTAGCAATTTCCTTACTGATTTCTATAAAGACTAGAAATGACATGCTATCGTTTTCTACTGTGCCCTATATAGGAGATAGTAAACTATGCAAAAAATAACATTCAGAACACAGTCCAAACTAGGGTGAGTTTTGATAATTTTTCATATGACTTTTTTTTAAAGCCGATATACATTATACAATCAAATACGGCATACATACAATGTATGGAATTCAGTATACTATACACGCTATTGTCTATGTGTGTGTACTGAGTGATATGGCTGCACAAGGGTCAGATGTGATCAAAGGGGTAAAACCACCAAAATTTAGAAAAGAGTACTGAAAAAAATATAAAGAAAGCAATACAGGTCTCTGTCCAATGAAAATATGTGTCTGTGCTTATGATTCCTCATGCAAGTGGCTGAAGGAAAAGGGAAATACTTCAGAGTGAAGTTATATGGACAGTGCCATCACTGAAACTAAGTATAAAAGTAATGTGTAGAAGATATTACCTGTAGCAGTTGTTATTATAGTTGTTGTAACTTCCCAGAGCTGTCAAGCACCCCAAGCAGATTGCATAAGAGAAAAATATCTGTGTACCAGCATCAACCCAAACCTGAGGAAAAGAAATGGAGTGGTTAAAAGAGCTCAATAAGGAATCATAGTTACTTGTATACTGACCACAAATTTGCAGGGGCCGCTATACAGGGCAATAATACCTTGTAACCCTTTTGTAAGTCGCAACCTGAAAAGCAATATATGCTGTGAGTTAAATTCCCCTCTCCTTCCTAAAGGTATAAACAAGAAACATCTCAGAATGTCTTTACGTAGTCAATCTAACCTAAGGCAGAAAGAGAAGGACTTTAAGAGAAGAACCTCATCAAGTAAAAATCTCCAGTGCTTCTGTTACCACTATAAGGTGTTAGTAATTGTCTGCTAAATAGAGTCAGCTGCATTTATCTCATTCTCACTCAATCGTTTTTTTTTTTTTTATTCAGATATAAAAATTTACCATGAAAGAACACTTTAAAATACGCCATTTATAGATAATATAAAAATTAAGATGAGCTGGGGAAAGAGAAACCAATTTATCCAGGGAAAGGTGGTCGTTGTTGTTTGTTTGGGTGTTTTTTTTTGTTTGTTTGTTTTGTTTTCAATAATTAATGGCCACAGTTAAGCAGCAGGACATAGTTGTTCCGGTCATTGTACAGTTAAAGAATAAAAGTTCTGTAGAGCTCTAAGTAAATAAATTTATAATTACCAGTATAGCAACATTTATATCCCAAACTGATGAAAACACTAAATCACAAATAAGAAAAAAGAGAAGGAAAAAAAGCACAAACTGACACAACACAATTATTATCCTCACAGCAACCACAAAAAATTAATATAATTTTTTTTAGTTTCAAAAACACCTCAGTGAAACAGTTTATTTCATCAAGCGTTCCACTAAAATCTGGGTGTGTTACTATTGGAGGTGAATATCTTTTAACTCCTGATTTCATCATGAGAGTGATGTGAAGAAGCCACAGCTACACAGCTGTGCTATTTCCAATCCAATAAATTCCACCTCCTGGTTTCCTGCGATGATTGAGCTCTGTAAGTTGCTTTTTAAAGCAGAGCAACCAAAATGCTTTTCAGAGAAGTAACAAAGCATTGTCTGGCTGATAACCAGAGGCAATAGCTATGTAGCCAATTGCTACTCTGAGTCTGAGACAGCAAGAAAATAAAATTCCACTCAGGTAATGATTTCATGACCGTACTAATGGTAATACAATACTCATAAACGTATAAAGGGGATGTGTTTGTTTTACATGTGATCAAGTGAGTCTTTGGTTTCTGGAACAATTGAGGGTGTTTCTGTTTAGGAATAACATTAACATCAGATTTGATTTGCATCAGTGTCTTAAATGGTTTCATTGCTGTCATACTGAATAAGATACAGCTGATTACATCTCAAAGTTTCACCACTTGGTAAGGGAAAAACTGCACAGAGAAAAAGCCTTTTGACAGACAGGCTTTTTAACAAGATTGGAAGCTCCCAAAAAGCTGTAAGTAGCATAGGTCAACTGAAAATGCACGGTCTTCTTAAGCACAAACAAAAGCTAGGAAACTGGATCAGCAGACGTAGAATCTGCTGTTTCCTTCCGTTTCAGTTTTTACACACCGTATTGTTGTAGTGCATTGTATGGCACTTAGATGAGCATTAGCCTTTCCTGTTGGCACAGGCCAGCTCCACAAAGTCTGATTATTCCTGGGACAGTAAGTACTAGTGGAAATGGGGGCAAAGTGGAATTGTATTCCGAAGTGAGAAACTCTAGAGCTGCTTGAGAAGAACAGCAGAGAGCACATCCTTCTGGAGGTCCTGCACACCTAATTTGAAAAAAAAGATGAAAATCTGGCTTTAAGTAGTATCATTTCCTTCAGAGAAAACAATCTCCACTAAGGATGATGACATCTGACTGAGAATCAACATAAAAACAGCAGCAGATACTTTAAACAAAAACATGTTCTGTAAGCAAGGGTTCAGATACATATAAAAGTTGAATCAGATTGAAAAGCCCTTTGGTTTTGTTGCACTGTATGACAGTAAACTAGAATTTTCACCAGAACTTATGGCTAATGCTTAAAATACAAGAAGAAAGCAATTTTATTTACTGTATGGAACAACAGAATCTGTGTAGCTTTGTTTGGGTTATAGACTTGGAGTACCAGTGACAGAATTTGTGATGACATTAATATATCAATTTTGGGTTTCCAAAGTGGCAAAAATATCTACAATTGATCAAAGAAGAAGTGAATCAGGAAATTAATTTAGAAATCACAGGTAGGTTTTTGACAGTTGGAAAAGTATGAGATGGACCAACTCTTCTATTTTGTCACAAGCCTGAACATGTCAAAATTTGAAAAGCAAGCAGCTGATAGTACAGATCACTTCTTTTTTTGCCCTAACAGCTCATGACCATTTGACAAATTTTGTATTAGACTTCAGCTCTCATTAGGAGTTGGAGATTTCGTTGACTTACACAAATTGTTTGTTAGTAGTCTTCGTCACACCCAGTCTTAGTCATTCTTAAACTGTCCCTTCAGGAAATTTATTCTCATGAAAACTTTTACTGGGCCTTTGTAGATATGGCTTACAAATCCAGGCACCATCCGTCTGGCTTATGGCAACAAAAGCATTATAAAATATTTCTGAGAGTGGCCAATCATTGTACTGCATTAGCTGGGTAATTTTGCAATATCTGGCTTAGACTAAAAGTTGCAACATTTTCCAAGGACATGGAATGAATGGAGCAGGATTCTGCAGAACAATGAAATTCTGAAGGACAGAGACAAAGAAAACACTGCCAGTAAACTGCAAAGCAAGGATTCTGGAGCCAGCAGCTGGTGAAAGGCTGGGACAAAAGGAGTACGTTTTTTCTGAAATGTGACTGGGCTTGATGTGTTTCTGGCATGGGTAAATTCCAGAGGAAAGAACCTGTACCAGGGAACATCCTGTTCATGCTTTATAAACTCAGTACCTTGAAAATCCTTGGGTTAGTGATCTTTAAGTCAATTCAATACTATGCATTCATAAATTTGGGGGCTGAAAACGTTTTATAGCCTTCCACTAACTTCTACTTTGAAGATTGAATTTTTTCCTTACTTTTCTTTACCTCATATATTAAAAAATTCCATTCCAAAACAGTATTAAAATTAAAGCACAAAACCTTCGTTTGTTATAACTTAATATATTTTTTTTTAAATCTAAGGGCAGAACCTTTATACCTGCTGTGCTCCGAATCTGCCTCCAGGGTACAGCTGATCCCCAAACATGCTAAGCCCAGCACCACTTTAACATTAGTATCGGCAAAGCAGAAGAACGCAAACACCAGTTCAGAATACAGCAGCACAGCTACTGCTCTGACTCCTGTGCAGAAATAATTCTTGCTGCCTGCTGGTTGGAAAGAAGAGGTCGTTCAATGAGCCCATGTGACTGAAGCTTGTATCCCAGAGGGAGAAGGTGACATAAAGAAGCCTCAACTCTATGGCACGACCTGCTTTCCCTAGGCATGATGGTGAGAAGAGGCAAGTCTCTTCACTTTCTATTTTCTAACCAGGAAGGGGAACAGCAGAGCTGTCTGTGCCCTGCTCCCCATTTTGAGGCTTTCCCCGACTTTATTCCGCAGCTTTCCTGATTCACAGAACAAGCAGTGGTCTCAGATGTGTCCTGCTGATTACTAACTTACATAGGAACAAACACAATTCCACTAAACAGAATAAATTTTTTTAAACTAAAAATGGAAAATGCTATTTTGCAAAGTCCAGCTCTCAAAAGCCAGCAATACCCAGAAATTAATATGCCTAAGTAACCTTAATTTGGCCTTCTTGTGCGTAAGTCCAGGACTTCTTCACATACACGACTGCAATACTACTCCGTATTCTGTCCAAGATGATGAATCAAGCTAGTCAAATAGAGGATCCTTTTGTCTAGACAATTCCTTGCCTCTTTTATTGCCATAATTATAGGACATGTAATGAATGAAGAAGGACAAAGAAGGAAAAAGATGTGCTGTGGTGAAGACAGCAGAATACTGCTCTGGAGAATTAGATTCTCATGTTGCTGCTATAAAGTTTCCAGGTGATACTATGTCCATAAATCACTTAAATAAATCCTTTCACAAATGTTCTGATGTTGCCTATGCTGGGAAACTTCAGAGATCAGGATTCATGGGGATTCCTGCAGCAGCCACAAGCTTGCTCTCAGGAGGGAGTCCTTGCAGCCTAGTCCATACCGTGTCCATGTATCAAATCACTGGGAGAATACCATTCACCTCGTCAGACCACACTTCATTCCTGAAGTGCCTTCTTGCTCTGAGTGCAAAGCAAACAGCACTGTAAAGCTGTTATGGAATCCTCCTGTGACTGCACGAAACAAGCTCCCAGGATAAAATGGCTTTAACTAGCACTTCCACAAAGTGTCATGACAAACAGATGAATGTAATTGAAATGGTGGAAAATTGTTTCACGTCTGGGGAATACAGAAAAATCAAGTAATTATTTTCAGTCTGGTCCTCCTAAAAGATAGCCAGTTTTGTTGTTTTTTTTTTTAAAAAAAAGCATGTGTTCACCTGAAAAGCTTCATTTTACACCTCAGCTAGGTAGTTACCCATGAATTTTCACTATTCTGTCCTTTTGTGCATGGCTAATATTTGCATATTAGTTTACAGGAAAAATGTAAGACACCTAAAAGACATGCTGAGGATATTTTAAGAAGTGGGAGGAGTTGGTTAAAAATGTGATACTTGGAAATTATGTTCATGGCAGGTTAAGCACACAAATCCACAGCCCAGCATCTCACCCCTCAGTGCCTGTGTCCTGGAGGAAGGCAGGACCCGGTCAGCCTTGTCTCTGTTTGCCTCTGTCTGCAGGCTGGGCTGACAAGCTCTTGGGATAAACACTACTTTATGGTTTAATTTTTCATTCTGTGGCTCAAATAATAGTAAAAATGGGAAAAGCAACCAAAAGAATATGATTGTTTAGAAACAGCCCAGCACAGCATTAAATCACCTGAAACATTCCCATTCTTATTCAGATGCATGTCTCTCTGCTCAGTCCATTGTAGTCGGTTCTGTATGTCTGTACACACAAGCACCCTGCATATGGTAACAGCACCCTTTTAGTAGTTTACTCTCATATCTGCTGTGATTTTTTTTCCTCTACTTCTTTAAGTTAGCCAATAAGTATAGCACTGTGTAACACTAGTGCAATTGTCACTGTGACATTAAATATGAAAGACTTTACATAGGCTTAAAAGATATGATGAAATTCACACACACACAAAACCAGAGAAGCTCAAAAGATGAGGCAGTATCTAGATGATGGAGTATGCAAGTAATTACTCACAAAGCACTGCGGCAGGAATGAATGAAGGCATTAGACCGTAAGGCTCCCAGCTCTATATCAAACAGAAAAATATTGCCAATGTCATTACAAGTGGCTCTGACTGAAGAGCTGCATCTGTCCTGCCACAGGAGAGATGTCACAATGATTTCCTCCCAGCGTTACTATTCTGCACTCACAGAATGAACAAAGACACTCAAGGAGTAGCTATGGGTTCTTGGTGCTACTCTGGGCTTATGCATAGGCTGTAGGTGCCTGTGTATTACAGTTTCAGAGATTTATACCTAAGGACAGACACGTCATGCTTCCTCTCTTTGCAACATTTTAAGCTAAGTTTCACAGATGTCCTAATGGTACCATATCACCATGATACTTCCAGTTTCAGAAGACAGCTTGGATAGATTTAAAAGTAATGGGGGGTCTGAAAGAACTGCAACATCCACATGATATTCTTCTCCATACATAAAAGGAACAAGTGACCAAGCACTATAAGGATCCTTCCATTAAGCAAAATGTGTACCTTGTTTATCTGTCTTTCCATGATCTCTCCCATAGTCGACAGTTAACAGATCCGATAGAAATTATAAACATGTAAGGGCTGCTATTATTTGTCCACACACTTCAGTTTGCTTCCTAATTTCCATCAAAATCAAGGGAATTAATTTCACATTGGAATTTGAGTACTGGTTGAAACACATATTCCTAGTAGTGTAGTTTCATAAACATGTATTTAAAAAAAATAAAAAATTCTTAACAGTAAGATTGATTACTCACTTCAGCTACAAAACCCAAAGCATGTTTAGCTGCAGAGTGGTTACTGATGATTCCATAAGCAAGCACTCCATTTGAGAATATGGGAGATCCTACAGGCCAGTTAAATGCTGCACTCACTCTCTTAAAACATGATGTTCCAAACGTTAATAGTCATTTATTTCCCATTTTGTTATCAGAGAATGAGCAATCACTTCATAGTTCTCTTTAAATTTCAATTATTCATCACTTTTGATGAATCTCAGCAGTATTTGTATTTTAAAGAGCTTTGGTGTCAAATAAGGATTTTACAAAAAAAAAAAAAAAAGCCTTTGCTGTCAGGATATAATAAATAAAAGTTTAAGGTAAAAGCATTGAACAGTTGCAGATTGTTTTTACAGTGAGAATGCCTGAATAAAATAACTTGTTGCAATACAAACTGAAACAGGAGCATTGCCAGAGTTTATGTCCCACACACCTTGAAAGGTTTAATGTTCATGTGTCAGTGTCTCACACAATGTGTGGAGAGTAAGTGGAAAATGTCAAAAATCACATCACCTACAGAACATCTCTACCTGTACCAAGCCTCAAGGCTTAGCATCTTCAGGTTGGCTTTTACTTCACATGTTCCATGAGCCTGAGGTGAGTGGTTTACATCTGAGCTGCCCGAGTCAGTAAAGCCAGCCTGGTGTTTGGTGTGCTATAGACATAGAGATGACAGGCCTCAATCTCAAAGTAGCACCTACATTTAAAGAGTAGGTCTCTCAGAGCTGAAAGCATTAATTACATGTCTAACACAAAAACATTTACAAGACTATTTTTTCCAGACTTATATCCCATGTCCCTTTAAAAATGACATTATTATCACTTAGACGGATTTTTAAAACACGAGGAATCTAACAAGTATGCTACTCCAGAAGTGTGCCTGCTCTGTGTGTGCTAGCGTGCAACTATGACAATCATTCCCAGAGTGTTTCCAAAACAACTATTTATTACATTCCTCTGCTATGTGCTACACACATACACACACATATATATATATCTTCTCAGAAAAATAATAAAAGAGGCAGTAGTTGAGGACTGAGCATTTTACCTTTGATCTTATTCCAATTAAAGCAATTTTTTGCATCTTTCTCATTAGGAAGAACATTCAACTACATCATAAACTGTTACGCTGGGCATGGTGTAGCATAATTGGCAATAGCAGCAGAGAGCAGCAGGATGATAAGCAGACTGCTCTGTGAAGACTGGATAGATATACACTGGAAGGAAAGTAACAGGTATATGGGTGGTTTTCCTTTTAGATTTTTTTTTTTCCAGAGACAATTCCTATGATCCTCATATGCTAATCAATATGAAGAACATCATACATTCACGACACCTCACAAAAAATAAGGCCAATCCATTTTGCATGTTTTCAGTTTCAATGCATAATACTTTGTCAAATGGACAGAGAACAAATGAGGCCAAAGCACCTGTATATGCCCTGATGGCCAGACTGAGCAAGAACATACAGTGGGCTTAAAATTCCCTTGCAGAATGCAGAAGGTTATTCTTTGGATAATTTCATTGCCATCAGCTGAAATCTCTTCTAAAAGCATAAGAAAGAAAATTTACCAATTTGCATTTATTCTCCAAGTCACTCTTTCATAATCAGCTGGGATTTTTTTCTTCAATAGCAGCTAACACACAAAAATCATTTGAAAGTCTGTGCCATGCAAATGTGCAAAATGAATACATATTTCAGTTCAAAGTACTGTTATACTCAAAGAAACAACCCAAACACTTAGGAGACATTCAAAGTGAATAAATCCATTCCTTGTATGTATTCTGCTCTTTTCTCACTAGCAGTATGCTGATAATGTACCTTATTCCTGTGAAGCCTACAGAGAAAATCAAAGAACAAACTTTATCATTTTTACTTTACTGCAGAATCAACACAGTTAATTGTAACTGCATAATTTCTCCTGCCTGAATATAAAATAGCAAAAAAGGCTAATTTTCTGATCTTAGAATGTACTTAGTTAAAAAAATGTTTTTGTTTTGTTTTGTTTTTGTTTTGTTTGTTGTTGTTGTTGTTTTTCCAACAGAGTTAATTTAAAAAGACACACTGAAATAGAAATTAAGCAAAAGGCTATTTCATAAAGTTAAACTTCTTAAACCCAAGGGTCACTAAGTAAAGTAAAAAAACGTGTGGGATCCAAGCATGCTGGCACTAGCTATTACCCAAGTAAGCTAGCTCTTTAGCCCCTGCCCCCTATCCCCAAATGCCTTCTTGAGGGAGAAAAAAAGAAAAAGGAAAAAAAAATTATCCTGTTACTCTTTCAACTAAATGGGAAATGTCATTAAATGGGAAACCAAACCAAAACAAAATATGAACAGTGTATTGTGGAGAAGCAGAAAAAAATGTTGAGTTTTGGATACTGGACTTAGTTTGTTTCTGAAGTTTACTACCCAGAGCTTTTTAAACAAGGCAGTTTCTGAAAGCACTGCCTTCATTAGTGCAGGAAAACACAACTTAAACGGCCAGGCAGAAAATGGCTGAATTAAGCTCTTTTTTTCCTCCTTTTAATGGTAGTGATTCTCAAAAGATTAAAAGTAGGTTAGGCGAATAATAAAACAGCTATGTTTCTAGTGTCTACCTGACAACAGCTTTTGTAGAAGTGAATAATTACATGAAAATCACTTCCTTTCTACCTCTTTTTGGGATTTCTGTGGGTTGCTAGGCAGTCTCTCTCCTACCTTCTGCTAATGTTACTTACAGAGGGGATGAATGCAGCATATTCATTATGAGAATGGTGAGCTGAGGGGGAGAAGGACCTAAATACTTGAAGTTTTGTTTATTCACTGCTGCCTTTGGAGACCAACACTATAGCTCAGATTACTTTACACATTTAAATGCTAATTTACCCAGGCATGACTTAGCCAAGTACCACCCTGATAAAATGGAACAGGACCTTCCTCAATACAGGAGCCACACTAGTAGTATGTTTCTGTGTTGCCAGCCAATGTTGAAAGTCAGGTGCTAGATGGAGCAAGGCACAGTGAGGCTCCTTCTGAGACTTGCAGGAAGAACGCTTTCACTCTCTGACTGCTTTTCCTGACTGAAAGAAAATATTTGTTATGAGACTGGTTTACTTTCCTGAACTCCTTAACCCCAAATTTAGGAGATATCTTAATTGCTTTGGCATGATTCCAAAACTAGCAACCACCTGTACTGGTGTACTGCCCTGCTTCTGTAATTGTGAGTGCACCCATATAGATTAGGGTGTATGTCCCTTAAAACAGAAATTAACATTAGTCCAAATCTCCCTTCTCTGCGAAGTGCTACCTGAGATAATGACGGGTTTGAATGCTCCTTTGAGATAACAGCTATGTGTGCCTGGTTTAGGGAAGGCAGCGAACCAAGTCAGATGCAGGCTTTGTGGGCTTTTAAAAAGTGTCTGATTTCCAAACCCTGATTTCAAGTCTTCTAAACCTGCAATTCACTTGGATTATGGACTTTCTTTTGACATCCTCACAATTACCTTGTACACCATGATGCAAC